GGGGGGGGAGGGGGGGGGGGGGGGGGGGGGGGGGGGGGGGGGGGGGAAAGCTTTTTAGTCATTCTAGCGTCAGTCAGTGAGTTTTTAGTTTTTTATCCATTTTCAACAATATTATTATCCATTCTTTTCAACAATAATATTATCCCTTCTATTCAACAATATTATCCAGATCTCTGCTTCTAATTTGTTTTTGTTTTTATTTTTTTTTTTTTTTAATCCCCAGGTTATGTCAATACTTTTGACAACCCGGTCTCCTTCAAGTGTCCCGGAGACAAGGTCCTCGCCGGCGTCAAGAGTTACCACGACGACAGCTACGACGACCGCAGATTTATCTTCCAGTGCTGTGCCATGATTGGACAAAGCCAGCACGGCTGTTACACCACCACTGGTGACGTCAACGCGTGGGACGGCAAGCTGACGCTGAGTGTTCCCATCCGTCGGGTCCTCAAGGGCGCTTACAGCCACCACGACAACGCCTATGAAGACAGGGTATGGAAATTTGAAATCTGCTCCACCAGATTTAATAACTTGCAACATTAGACTGCGCTCAAGTTTTTTTTTCTTTTTTCTTTCACATTTGAATTCTTAAGCAAAGAACCAACGGCCGAGTTTAAGGAAACAGCGCAGTATGGACTCAATACCACAGCGATTATAGTGCTCGAGTATATCATGACTATCACCATACTAAAATAAATAGACACATATTAATTGTATTTATTATTTATTGTAGTAGTGTGATGATGGATGTTGGTGGCTACTTTAGGGTGTGTGTGTGACACACTTTTTAAAAACCCTGCTGGCAGCGCCAAAAAAAAAAAAAAAAAAAAAAAAAAAAAAAAAAAAAAAAAAAAAAAAAAAAGAAAAAAAAAAAAAAAAAAAAAAAAAAAAAAAAAAAAAAAAAATTTTAAAAACCCTGCGGGCAGCCCCAAAAAAAAAAAAAAAAAAAACAACTGTAGCAAGGTGAATGTCTGGTGATGGTGGACCAAGGCTGACCGTTTTACTAAAATACACTAAAACAAATTCAGGTCTCGAGGACTACAGCTTTATTTGCACACTAAAGACAAATTATGCTGAAGAAAAAAAAGGGCTAAAGAAAAAGCCCCAAGAAAAAGGACAATATCTGAAAAGAAACAAATAGTACAGGCTAACAATGTCCTGACTAACACATTGAACAAAACAGCTAACAAATAAACAAGTCAAATAACTAAGTAATTACAAGTGGCGACAAAATATACTTAACCAAGAATGCAGTATACGTACATGTTATTTGTTATACACAATGGCAATGAAAATAATATTATTCTAAAATGTTTAATGATAAAATAAATCACGTGGCGTGTTTAATTTGTAGCACATACACTGTGTTAGTATTACCAGTGTGAGATGTGAGGGCCAACATAAAGGCCCAGAAATTAATATGGTATGCCATCCATCTATGGTGTCTATGCAAGAAGCACACAAAGCAGTACAGTTAATACAATGGTATAAAGTATGACCCCCGTTAGTTTGATACTTGCATCTATCAACCGCTGTGTCTTTTTAAGACAAAAGCAAATCGCAGAGTGACTAATTATATGCAATATTATCCTAACACCTGCACCATTTCCTATGTGAGAATGTAGCACAAGGCAGGGGTGTTAGCCTATTACACAAAGCTGGCTTACATTCGCTGGTTGTACACTGTTGTATCAGTAGCTTATAAGCACATTGCAGTATGCGTAACCACAGATACTACTTACCAGCTAAGTGCTATTTCTTATTTTTATACCGTTTTTTCTGTTGTTTTGTTCGCTGACGAAGGCTTTCTGCCGACACGTTCGCTGTTTTGTTGCGTTTATTTTTTCAGGTTTAACCCTACTCTGTTTTACTCATTTTATTTTGTACTTACCTGATTGCAGTCTCCCCCCTTATTACCCCCTTATTATTTAGCCTATGTATATGAAATGTATATAAAATATATTTATTGTAATTATTCATAAACAAGCCAAATTTAAAATTGACGCATGCATCGAATTTCAATCAATCGATTTTAGGGCTAATATTAATGACGGCTGCCACAGCGTCTTTTGGGTGTTTATTATAGTTGCAGTGAATTAGGGTTTAGGTTAGGTTGAGGATCGATTTAGGTTTCAGGTTAGGCATAGGGATCTATTTAGGTTTCAGGTTAGTCATAGGGATCTATTTAGGGTTCAGGTTAGGCATAGGGATCGATTTAGGGTTCAGGTTAGGCACAGGGATCTATTTAGGGTTCAAGTTAGGCATAGGGATCGATTAAGGGATACATTCGTGAAATTCGATAAAATAGTGGCAGTCGTCCTTAAAATTTACCGATTTCAGTAACGAAAGACAAGGTGCATAACTCTACGCGACTTATTCTTGATTAAGAGAGTAACCACCCATATAATAGTTGTCACAGGCACGATCAGACACAGTAACTCCTTAGTAATTAAAAAAATCTTCTACCAGCTGTTGACACTGCCATTACTTTTACCCTAAGATGTCAGTATCAGGCCCAGTTGTCTACAACATTGACAGTTGGATAGATGAAAATAAACAATATTTTCTTCCTCCTGTCTGCAACAAAATGATGTGCGTCAACTACTTTAGTTTTAGAATTAAATAATAATAAATTTGTATAGTTAATAAAGTCAAAAGGCTATTGGGACCCGGGTATCAGAAGGGAGAGGTTGGGATTTTAAAATATACCAATTATTAAAAATATTAGTGTAGGTTTTGTAAGACTAATATTGGTATCAAATGAAAGATGATGGAATGGACTATGACTATATATATATATATATATATATATAATATATATATAGGCCCTATATATAGCCTATGTCCTGTGTTTGTCAACTTACTTCTTCAGTTTAACTAAAATAAACTGCCACAAATGGCATCCGAATAGCATTTGTGGTAGTTCATTTTATTTAGTTCAACTGAAGAAGTAAGTTTAAAAATATATATAATAGGCCTATACAATTATCTTTCATTTGATACCAAATTTTGTTTTACAAACCCTAAACTAATATTTTAAATATTTCTGATACCCGGGTCCAAATAGTTGAAATAGCCACAGCCTAATAAAATAGCTGAGCTAGCTATGTTATAACTTAAAACCGATAGCCTGAGGCATTCTGCCCATACTTGTATCTACTACTTAGAGTACTAGTATGTACTCTTGTTCTAGGCATAGGCTATGTTGAGTAGTTCAGGGGTCTGCAACCTTAATCGGCTAAGAAAATATAATATTATGGCAGCTTATGGCATTACTTACATTATTATATTTTTTAAATAGTTTAAAATAGATATTATAGTGGCATCCGTCCGTCACAAGATGACGATGGTGTAGACTTCGCAGAACGAAATCCACACGGCCTGGGATTATTTTTCTAGGATTATAAGCTGGTTTCCAACAGCAAATCACCACTCTCCACGCTGCTGGATAACCCAACGGAACATCATGTGGATGAAACAGCTAGGCATCAGTGGCGTCGCATGAGTTGTTGGAATCTTTCATTGTACCAATATTATCTGCCTACGGGACTCCATTTCTGGATTTGAATTCAGAGTTTCCTTCTCTTAGATGAGTTACCATCCAAGGTTAACGAATCCCATCCACCTGTGGTGCTGGTGATGTTTTTGCTTGACTGGGCTTTGATGAGGATTAAACTCCAGACCATCAACTTGAGATTTGTTCAGTTTAGACCATTCGGCCACTCAGCACCTAAGATCATTATAACAACAACAAAAAAGAGCCCCACCCCATCTATCCTTCATTGGTTTTATTAACATTCAAAGATTTGCGGGATGTTCACCACTCTGACCATTGAGTAAGATTAATAAGAACATGACTGACATTGCTGACTATAAATCATAAGACCAAATACAGAAGAGTGAAAATGATTCATTTGCCTGATGAACATAAAATTTACACTGCAAATTGATGCAAGATTAAGTTAATGTGAATGTATTGATCCAAATAAATAGAAATGTTTTTAGATTACACTGTACATATTCATTTTCAGCACATAAATTAATATATATTTTAACAAGACACATTTTTACAATTATAACAATTTAAACACAAGGGATCCAAAGTATTTCTCTAGTTTAAAAATGCTCCATCAATGATCTTCCTTAGTGACAATAACGACTTAATTAGTGATCATTTAGATTTGATAACTGCTGGGGGAGCACTCTGGTCAATTTGTATAGACTTGGGAACAAAAGAATTTTTATATAGTTTGGTCCAAACTTAAAGAAAAAAAAAATCACCCTTATCGAGCTGATCTTAGGTATCTGTTGGGAGGAGGGTAGGATTCATGATTTAAAAATTGTTTAGTTTTACATCAGAAATTTCTTCAAATAGTTCAAGTGAAGGATGCTAAGTTTGAAATTGTTAAGAAAAAAAATTTAGAATGAAAAAAACCAATGATATATATTTTCCATTTTCAGGCATAATGATGGGCAGATGAAAGTAATGTATGTTGGTGGTCCAAATCAGCGTAAGGATTACCACATTGAAGAAGGAGAGGAGGTATAATCATGAAATATGTAACAATTTCCGTTCTTTTCTCTCATAAAAATAGTTTGAACACTGCTTTGAGTAGATCTCGTACATATTTGATGGGGCCCTTACCATCTTTTAAGTAAACACAAAATGTTTGGGAGAAGTAAAACATCACTAGAAAATAAAGATTGTATCCGAGTGCTGGCTTTTTTAAACTTTTGGTGTAGTTTTGATGCTAAGGATTGCATAGAGAAAGATCAATCCAGTGAACTACCAGTGTCATTGAAATAGCAGATTAGTACAAATATTGTAGCAAATGTTGAAGATTTCATGATAAGCTAAGCAGTTTGTGCATTCTACTGCTTTTACTTCAAAGGAGAGCTTTTTCCATGTAAGTCACAAAGTTATCAATTAAACACGTATGAAATGTATGTTACCTTCTTTTGTTTGTTACTCTGGCCATCCAACAACTGATGTTGACGTTTAGACAGACACTAGCAGGCTACTATTTCGTATTTGTTGTGTCTGGCTTCACTGAAGATCTTTAATGATCCGTCCACAGCTGTTTTACATGTTAAAGGGAGACATGTGTTTGAAGGTTGTTGAACATGGACAGCACAGAGACGTTGTGATCAATGAAGGAGAGGTAAATAGTTATAATGTTCTATTTGTCTATGTTTGAATCTGTTGATGTAACGAGCGAAAAGGACTTGAAGACTATTACCTTTTTTTTTTAATGCAAAAGATATCACATTTTCAACTCTCTCATTTGACATCACATGTAAATTGTCACTTGCACATTTGTTGTAAAGAAAATTTCATGTCTAACAATATTTTTATATAGTCATTTAAAGTCATTTGCTTAGCTACTAATACACTCAAGTTTAAAAGAAAATTACTATCATAACTATGATAAATCATAACCATACACACACAAATTTAAAAAAAAAATGTATTAAATGATAATGGTCTTAGGAGGACATTCATTTACGAATTAGGAAAGAAAATAGTTTTTAAAAAATATTTTATTAAATTAAAATCCTTCTCCCCCCCCCCCCCCCCCCCCAAGATATTTTTGCTCCCAGGTAAAATAGCCCACTCTCCACAACGCCAAGGAGACACCATTGGGCTGGTGATAGAGAGAGAGAGGGATAACAGTGAGCTGGATGGTCTAAGGTGAAGATGGAAAATTTAAGTGTATTTATAAAGTGCAGTCTGTTTTAAATTAAATGGAGTTGCTTTTTTTTTTTTTACCACGAAGATTTAATTTTAGTTAACCAAAGCAAGCATAGACCAAAGTTACTTTAGTTTGCAATAAATTATCTCATTGATATTTAACAATTTCAGATATTATCAAGAGGTGGATGGTGTGCCTACAGCAGAATCTCTCTATGAGGAATGGTTCCACTGCACTGACCTAGGTACCCAGCTGGGTCCCGTCATAAAAAGGTTACCTATCACTTTGATCATCTTGGCATTAGCTTCTCATAAATGTCAGCTCAAGCGTTGAGCTCACTCTGTCTAATAATTAAGTGCCGATATGAGCGGCACCAACGTCAGAAATCAGGACGAAAAATTTTAAAAGTTGCCAACATCACAGTTGTAAAGTTAGTCAAAGCTCAGGAGTTTTCTTTCTTCATTGCAGATATTTTGGCTCGGAGCAACATAAAACAGGAAAACCAGTGCCTGGTAATTATGATTATCTTTTTATCTAAAATGCACAGTAAATGTCCAAACAAAGAAAGAAAAAAAAGTACTCTGAATTGTTTTAAATATTTTAAAAAAAAAATTATTAGGCCCATGCATTAAAAATTTTTGTTAAAGATTGTAACATTCTGAATGGTTTATTTTCATTCACGTATCTGCGCTTAAAGAGTTTTAATAATGGATCTGCATCATTTGTAAAACTCGAATGACAATTTTTGTGAACAGGGACCATTCCAGAAAGCCCACCCATCATCCTTGACAGTGAAATCAGCATGCAGGACCCATTCAACCTGCATGTGTGGATAGAACAGAACAGAAAAGAACTGGACAGCAAGGGCTTCGTCCAACTCTTTGGAGATAACTTTCAGTTTTCTGTGAGTCCCCGTACTTAGTTTAAAAATAATAATCTACAGATTTTCTTCAAGTGTTCGCCATGTACATCAAAAGCATTCAAACACAGATGGATGAAGAGAATATTGAATGGTGTTGGTCACCGAACAAATGATTTTTAATAATACAAAAACAAATTTAAGTTACTTAATAATTTTTCCAGTTCCTTCTTATGTTATCTTGAAGCATGTGATTCATACAGCAGTATACTGTTGGGTGTACACTATCCATCACAAATGCTAAACATCCAAGGGGTTTATTACAGGTGAAGCTATACGGAAAGGGAGAAAATACTGGACTTTGTGACAATGCAGAGACTTGGATATGGCAGATGGTAAGATACCCTTCTCAGATGTTGTTTAAACTTTTCCTTTCTGAACTCCCTTGTCTTTTTAAAAAGGAATTTTTCAATTATTTTCACCATTTTTTACACCTCTTTAAGCTGTGCTTCCCAAACAGTTCGGTGATGTGAATATGAACAAAATGATTGCAAACAATGCTACTCTATTCTAAGAGCATGTAGAAGATTATTTTTCACTGCAGTGGAAACAGAGCTGATACTTTTATCTGTAGCATGTCAGAAGGAGATGCCTGTACTTTAATTTTTAACATGTCAGAATGAGATGCCTGTACTTGAATTTTTAACATGTCAGAAGGAGATACTGGTAAATGAGACCGAGTTTTTATTTCCAAATAACAAGTTACCCCACTTGCAATCAATAGGAGAAAAATATAAGGTAATGGTTTTTAAAAAAAACACAAACTATTTCTTTTACATCAGGAAGGTGAGTCAGTTGTTACTCAAAATGACAAGGAGTTCAAGCTTCAAAAAAATGACTCGTTTCTGATAAGAGTTGGGGAAAGGTAAAAAAAAATATTCCAACTATTTTTTAAGCTGAATGTCTTCTGCAGATATCAAAATACAAAGCCCTATATCTGTTGTTTGTTTTTTTTTCAGTTACAGTGATTTATTGCTTAATAAGAGTTTGATATAATAATCATTCACCGCTTATCTATTATGTACATAGCCTTAACTATCCTTAACTTAACACATCTCTTATTTTATTTAATAAAATTAGGTATAAAGCAGCTCGGCCAGAAGGGAGTATTGCCTTGATCTGCTACCAAGATCCATCTCGGAAAAAGTAATAAAGATGTGACCAAGAAATTTACAAGTTCATGTTAAAATTGTTCAGATGATGTTCACTGTTAGTCCCTGTCAGTCAGCAATGACAGCCTTCACTGTTTTGTTAAATGAAGAAATTAGATGAAAAATGATTATGAGTAAGTATCAAGGGATCTGTTGATGAAGATCACTAATGTTTTCAGTCTTTGAAGATTTTTGTGAAAACTTTATTCTAATGCAAAATTTAACCAGCCAGCATTTATGCAAGATTTATGGCATTTATTTTTTTGATGGTTTTGCTGCACCATTTATATAAACTTATCCAAATGCATTCTTGACACATATGTAATTTTTTTGGTATCATTTTATTCCAGTGTATTTCAGGGAAATTACAGCATTTCTGTAATGCATCTGTAATATTGTTGTTTTTAAATTTAATTTTCAGTGTTGGTTTTTATGTAACTAGTCCTTGGATCTTGTGTGCATATTTCTATGCCGTTATTGTGTCCATCAATTTCTGGCTAAGGGAAGTACTTGTTTGTAATCTTATGCATTTTATTGCCCTAAAGTGATACACTATTTTCTTGAAATAATTTTTTGTTATCAGTTACATTGAATGTTGGAAGATAAATAGTTATTTTTATCCATTTGGAGAAAAAACATGTATTGAGATGTGCCTTATTCAAATATATAAATGAGGTGAAATCCTCCCCTTGTTGATACTTAGCTTTGTTACCACCTAAATGCTTATTAATAACAACTTACACATTAATTATATAATTATGTATTTTTTCATAATCCTAAAAGTTGTTAAGACATACAAGCAGTCCCTGGGTTTGGGACTTTAGGGACAGCATGCTAACAAACGGTCTCTAAGGGGCGTATTCATAATTAGATTAACTATTCTGATCTAGGAACTGAGTAAAACAAATTAAGGTTAAACCTGAAAAAAAAAGGAACGCAACAGAACAACGAACAAAGAAAGGAAGACTTCATCAGCGAACAACAGAAAAAAACAGAATAAAATTTGAAAAAATATGACTTAGTTGAGAAGTACTGGCACAGAAAGAGCGGAGAAGTAGTGGTGGGGGAGATGTGTTAAACTTTTGAGTCACATTCTTTTGCTGTCCTCTGGGATACTACTTCTCAGCTAAGTGCCATTTTTTTTCTATTTTATTCTGTTTTTTTCTGTTGTTTGTTATTATTTATTATATTCTGGGATATAAATAAGCATATTATTTCTATTAGTAGTATAAGCCTAGTTTAAGTGAAGGAAAAAGCCCATGCATAATAGTTCCTGTAACTTATTTTCAGTGTGACTGCATTATTAGGTCAGTCCATCAGAGAAACATATAATTATTTATGTATTCATTGGGATAACACACGAATCAGACCTTATATTTTTATCAAAATGTATCAAGTTTGTAACATGCCTTGTAAAATAGCAATGAATACGGAGAAAGTGAATAATTGTTAAAGTTACCAATGAAAGAGTATTTTAGGATTATATATCAATTAACTTCACAAAATAATTCTTTAGGAGTAACAAAACAATTCTACCAAGTTGTTTTTTTTCTTTTTCTCTCTTTCTGAATCTTATTTCTATCAGTCCGGCATGAGTAATTTTTTTTTAAATTTCAGGAGAGAAACTAACTTAAAATATCATGAAATTAGAAAAACTTTGGCTTTAATAATTATGACTCAATGTTTCATCATTTTTGTGAGTGTCATTTCCTAATGACCACAGAATGATTGCATGTAACTAATTATTGGTTTTAATGAATGAATTATTGCATTGAAACATTATTTTATAAGGTTAGTTTTTAAAATTAATAATTAGCTTATAATGTTAATGTGAATCTTTGTACATTTCCCTAATGATCTTATGATAGGCCTACATACCATTAAAAAAAATTAATTAATGAAAAATTCCAAACAAAGTCAAACTTTCTTTTGATTGTGCCTTGAATATTGTTTGCATTTACAAATGTATTATCCTAATCTGTTGTGTATACACTGTTACATATTAAAATGTTTTTAGCCCATATCTATATATAAAATATACAGAAGATTTTATTATACCATAATTATATATCCACAATAATAATTACCGATTGATTCGATTGTTGTGAACGTAAAAAAATTTGTTCAGTTTATAATTATTTAAATGAATGATTTCAAACATGCTTCATATTAAGCCAAGTCACATGTTGCAGTTAACTGTTGTTATAAATTTTCCTGAAAATTTGTCAATGAACAATAAATATACTTTATATAACTTATTGTTACATTCTTTTTCTACAAATATTTTAATTTGTTTGGAAACAAAAAAGAGTTATTCTATTTATTGAAAAACAACAGTGGCGGTTATTGACTGACCCTGGATACCTGGAAATGCCGAGTATTAGCACATCTTGCAAAAACGGAACTTTGTGTGGGTGTTAAAAAAAATAATTCATCTTCTTATTGTCTATAATGTGTTCCACCCAACAATCTCAGTGTAAACACAAGGGCCTAAACATATCAATAATATATTTGTTTATACACTGAGACACAGAGCTACGTTGTGATTTTGGGAATACTAAAGTTATACGTTTTTAATTAAAATAATTTGTTGTTGCTTGTTTTGTATTGTCTTCTAAAGAAGACATTTAGCCGAAACGTTCTTTTTAACTGATTAAATTTTCTGGTGTGTTTTCTTTTTCAAGCCTAAACATATCTAATCTTGTGCCACTATACTATTTATTTACTTCGTACGGTTTGAACTTAGCCCCCCCCCCCCACCCCACCCCTCCCATCAGCATCTCTTATCATTCCTGTACCTATTCATATTCATTAAGTCATTTATGCATTTAGCTTTCTAATTAATAATAGAAATCTTAGCCCATATTTAATCATCATAAACTTATAATTTTCTTTACTATTAAAGAATTTTATTAATGTATAAAGCTTGGTTTTAAATTGACAAAATTTTTTTTAAGTTGAAAAGGACCATTCTCTGGTAGATCTCAGACTTGTCTCGGTTTAATTTCGTATCTCGGTGAAAGTGTGACCTAGCACAATTTAAAGAATTAAACACGAAATGGCGACTGAAATCATAACAAAACTTTGTAGCAAAGCAAAACTCGACAGAGATAGGGGATTTTCTGAGCTTGAAGAATATATAAGCACTTGCGACGAAGAAGACATTTTAAGTTTTGAACAGGACATTTTAAGAATGCTATCACAACCTGATGATGGTTGGGAAAGTCGTCACGGCGGTTTGAGTGGTGCTAGGTGTCTCTTTGAACATGGAAAAATTAAACTAGAAGATGAGGAAATTGGATCTGGTGGAGATTCCTTTGCTTACACAATGATTGAGAAGTCCATGCTGATGTTAGAGCATGACGAATTCCGTGTTAGAATAGCAGCAGGTAGGCCTACTTATTATGGTTATAATTAGAACTGGATAAAATTATCATAATTGGAAATTGAAATTAAATGATTAATAATTAATTATAATCAACTGTTAACTGTAAGGGTACTCTTCAGAAAGGTGGTCCCAAATTAAAATACTATTCTTTAGAAAGTGTCTGGCTAATAGCTGCTGATAATTGAAGACTTAGGCTAAATGTATTCATTTTTTAAAAAAATAATAAGATCACGATCTTCATCAGGCTCTTTAAAATCATCATCTCCGCCTGAAGAAAAGAAAAAAAAGAAGAAGAAAAATAAAGAAAATACAAGAGAGAAACAAAAGTTGTCTCTGTTGAATTGCTGTTAGTGTTTGATATTAGTATTAGAATTAGATGATGGTCAGCTGGCTACACTTACACTAACCAAAAAAGCACAAAAAAAGACTTAAGGGGGTTAACTACCTTCATTTTCATTTTCTAAATTATAAACATTTTAACATGTTTAAAGTTTTTATATTATGTATATGGGCTTAGATAAGTAAAATATGGTGGACAAATTTAATTATTTTAAAAAATTTTACTTCAGCGGAGCATATTTGGGGTCGAGGTGGTAAAATCATGGGAACCTTAGGAAAGGTTTTATATAAAAGCCACAGCAGCTACAGGTCTCAAATTTTGCATTTAATTAGCCATAAGCCTACTAAATATGATAACATTGAGACTTTGGGTAAAAAGATAGCCAATTTTTTTTTTTCATGTCCTTTTGGTGCTGTTTAGTTTTTGTTTGGCCGCGCAACTTTTTCTTTAAAAATATCACTTTCAATAAAAATATTTTTTTTCCATGATCATTTTTAACCTAAACGGCTCTGTCACTATAATCTTAAGCCATATTTAAACAAGTATACACAATTTCAAAACAATTGAACAGGTAGATTTTGAGAAAAATGAAGCCTAACATTTAGTATACCTTAAAAATTTTATTTTGAGAAAAACAGAAAATAAACTCTTTTTGGAAGAAATTTAAGTCTTATTCATAATGTAAGCAAATAAATTTCATCTTATTCAATATAAAAATCATTGGGCATGTTAATAAGCAAAAAACAAATGTAAACCTGTGGAAAATAAATTTTCAGTGACAAATATACAACACCCTCCCCGCGGCAAAATTTTTTTTTTTTTTTTAAATTTCCAAAAAAAATTACTTTGCATACCAAAAACATTATTTCAACATTATCATTATGATTTAAAAATAGCATACTACATAATTTATAAAAATTGGAAGATATATTTTTTAATTTATTAGTAGACGACATAAAAAAATCAGCCCCTTCAAGTATTTCTTGCGGCCACCCTTACTCTAACTCAACTCTGCATTTCTTTTTCTGCAGCTATTTTTTAAACCTCCTTCCAAATACTTCATTATTTTCTAGTGACCTCTGGGCTTTATAGATGCAGAAACTGTCCCTTGTATTTCCAAGTAGATGGGTCTGCAAATGGTGCAGCCACAGCCTGTCTGTTTAGAGTGTGGACACTTTCAAATTTTTTCTCAGTTTTTACCGCTTCGCAGGTTGCACAAAAAAAACAGCAAATATACTGCAAGTCTACAGTTTTTATTTCTCATCCTGTAGAAGGTGAAGAGACTAAGTACTGCAAGAGGCACATTGCAGTCCAGTATAGCAAACTTTAAATAGCAACATAGATTGTTGGCGAAGGTGAATCGCTGGGGCTGTCGGTGGCAGCAAAAAAAAAGCCAAGTTCATGCTTTCATGCATACCCGGCAAAATGACTGTCCCTGTCCCAAAATGACTCGGGTTGTATATCCTGAATATCTGCTACAGAGTGGTTGTCCAACTGGCAGGGAGGGGACAAAGCGATGGTTGAGAGTTCATTCTTCTTCAACTTGGCCGCTCTTGCCATAGTTGTCGATGTCTCTTCAGCTTAGATCTTGAAGCAGTACTCTTTGTCAATTCTTTAGTTGGAGGCATAACACTGAAGAAATAGCAATAGAGAAATAAAAAAATTGTCAATAAAAATAAAACAATATCATAAACAAAGCAACTGGTATGTCAAAAAAAGTTGCAAGAATGAACACACGTACCTGTAATTGAAAATAACCAAATATTATTATTATAAATAGAACATTTTTAATTTAGTAAGCCCAATAAGAACTAAATAGGTACAGTGCCTGTATATTGTAAAATAGATCCAGTCATTATCAATAGTCCTATATAGCCTATAAATATTTCAAATGTGTCTCCCCATGTGGTGTATGAGTATATGAGATGCACTATCACTAGTACTAGTACTATTTTTAGTATAGTATTATGGTATGATTACAATTACAATTAATTATAGTATAGTGTAGCCTACCAGAAGTAAATCGTTAAACTATTATTAAAATATTTTAGTATTACTATATAATATGTACATTTAGTTTGTAATGAGAGTACAACAGGTCTAATGTTTGTAATACACAGTTCACGTGTGACTTGACTAAGTTTACTGACTCGGTCTAGCAGTGGCGTCCTAAGACTAGACCACAAAATTACCAATGAACGAAATAATAATACCGAATTCAATTATAAAAATATCATATACAAATTAATCTTACCTTATTTTATGAAATCAATTGAAAAATAATCAAATCCTAAAACAGTAAAGCAAATTTTCACTTCGAATCGACGAAAAAGACATTCTCTTTGTTTACACGTCGTCAGGGGAAAATGTGGAAGGTCACGGCTTCCGTATAGGAAAATGGCGGACATGGACCAATCAAAATGCAGAGAATTGTTTATAGCTACGAATTGGCCAATCATCTACTTTTGTGTACACGTGATACACATGGTTTTTACGTGAATGGTTATTTTTAGATAAATTAGTCATCGGAATGGCATTCTTTATGCGGTGATAAGCTTTCTAACGATACCAAACATGATAGAATCGAACCGGGGGTTTCCGCGCAATCAAGTGTTGAAAAATAGGTCATTTCGGGTTAGGTGTGAACAAAAACATAGACCCCCAACCCCTTCAAATCACAATTATTATACTAAAATTAATTAATTTCATAATTTTTACTTTATTTAATGATAAAAAAGATATTAATCTAACAGAAAATCCAAGTTTTGAAGAATCGATATTTTTTTCAAATTTCCATTATTTTGTGACCCGTGGATCCCCTTAACTTCTCATTTTCTATAATTATGCAACAAAATCTACTGTCCTATGTCATAGTGATAGTGAGAGTGCATTGCCTTCATCAACTTTTAGTGTCGACTTTCCTATGTCGATGTGAGAGTGCATTGACTTCAACTGTTTGTATCGAAATAACCCACTGATGACATTGTACGCATGAAGCTCAATACACAAACAATAACAACACCAAATAATATTCACTCCCCTATAGAAAAAAAATCAACCTATTTACTTGAGTTCATATGTCATGCATGAAGCTGGCTGCGCGACCACCTATCGCACTCAGCACTATTACTATAAAACATGAAGAGTTGGGGGTGGGGGCTATTTTTCAGAGAAAGCTGGATGAACCAGAAGCAAAAGATATTTTAGGGATAATAGTAAGCATAGTATAGTATAGTTTGGCCAACTGAAAATTTAAGCAGGTTATGCTGGGGTAAGTTATTTGTTGGCACCATTAGGCTCATTCTCAATTATGTCTGTAAAATTCTTTATTCTATATCCTCTTTATAACTCATGGAGATTTTGAGTTATTCTTAGAGTACATAGACCTACTGTAATACAAATGTTTGACACCTTGTGAATGTAGATCCACACTTGCCAACTGACCAAACCACTCAAATTTTAGACTGAAGTGAAGCGGTGCTGCATTCTCTCATTACTTTTCTACTCAAAATCCATTGATGGGCTGATCCTTTAAAAAAAAAGAAAGTAAATGAAGAAGCAAGGAGCATAGTCAATGTGTACCTCAGAGTCATTGCTTACCTCAGTGGCGTTGCTTGGGAACCTACACTAAGCTGATGGCAAGCAACAGGACATCCAAGATTAAGGATCAAGGTTGCAACAGATTGTGACAAGGAAATGAACCTAAGGTTCAGCAAAGCAAATCAGAAATTTTGAATACTGAAATCCATCTGGAGATCAACCTAACTGAGCAACAACACCAAGACTTGAAAATGTAAAATGTTTACTAGGGGTGTGCCGGATCCGTTTTTTCCAACCGGATCCGGATTTTCTTATGCGAAATCCGCCGGATTCGGATCCGGATTCCGGAATAATCCGGATTCCGGTTTCTCCCGGATTTTGGTACTATTGGTAGATACTTCGGTAAGTCAAGGTGGACTACTACTTTTTGTGTATGGGAATTCGCAATCGGCGCCAAAAAATCCGAGTTTTTAATTTTCCGATGTGTGTGTCTATTTATTATTAAATTAGTACTTTCGATATATATTTGAGTTCCGTTCCATTTGGATAAGTGTCTTACGAGAGACGCCATGTTTCTACGCGTTCGCAGCAGGTTATGCAGCTCGCTCAACCTAATTTCGCCATGGGGTTGGCCACGCCCCCCTTTTTAATGGCGGAAGTTGACGATACTTAGGAAATATTAATTTATTATCACTATTTACATCAAAATAATTGATAACTTGTGTTTCAGAATGCATTTAAAGACATTTAAACTGGAATGTTTTAATTTGAGCTTTAACAACCCGGTAGAATCCATATTATAAATGATCAGAATTTACCGTGTGCAACACGTTGTCATTGGCAACCATTCACAGCCACTTGCATAACTGTATCGTAGTACTACCTCAGAGTTTCATTCATAAGAGTTTGCCGTGTGCAAAAACTATTAAACCATTGGTCAGGGAAAGCTTTAATTAATTATTCATGTGCCAAAGTTGAAAGTTTAAACTAAGTCTAAACAGTATTTTAGTGATAAGGCAGGGAATGCGTTGCCTTATATAAACTATATAGTCATTGCGCATGACGGGATTGGTGGAATGAGATCACAGAATGTGGAGATGCAGTCCATGTTAAAAAATGACAAACCAAGTCGTACTTTAAAAATTCATAACTTTAAAACTACAACAGCTAAAAATATGATTTTGGTGTTATAATTCTTTAAAAAATTACATCTTTTCAACTATGCCATTGGTTTATTTTTACAAAAAGTTTAAATTTTCTTATCAAAGTCCCTACACTATTGGCCACTATTAGCGGTGCTGACTCTAGCCTCTGGTATGTACGGAATATTAAACATTAAACAAGCTCAACGCTCGAAACAATCGATTAATGTATCGTGATCGTGTGGAATTCGGGAAAGAGAATTACTTTTATTTCAGATCAGATCCGGTGAGTCACAAAATCTGGCAAATTCCGAAATCCGGTATATTCCGGATTCCGGAATCCGGTTGTTTCGGATACATGTAAATCCGGCGGAACCGGATTTCACCGGATAGTGCAAAATCTGGCGGAACCGGATTCCGGACCGGATTCCGGCACACCCCTAATGTTTACTTTATTGATCAGATCTGATTGCTAAAAGGCCTGTAGCACATTTAAAAAAAACAGAAGCTGCAAGTTTTCTGAACCAAATGCCTGCGAAGGAACCATATTCAAGAGTAATAGGACAGAAGAAGATGAATCAGTAGAAAAATCAAAATATATTCAATCTTATACTTTTCATTTTCAATAATTTTAATAAACACATTTATTTAAACTTATAAGATTTAAACAATCCTCTTGAAACAGGTGAACTTTTAGGTGTGCTTTGCAAATTGATTGGAACAGAAGTCTATGAGAGAAGTAAAGAACAAATCCTAGGAGGAATTCGTTCAAACTTGGAGCGACAAGGACTTGGTCTCTCAGAGGATTCCTTGGAGTCACCAAATGACCAACCCCAAAGTATAATGTTTGGTTCACCCAGTACCAGTGCCAGGCTCATAGAAAGGGTAAAAATTAAATTTCACTGTGCAAGGATAAATATGCAAGAAAACTTTTTTTAATTTCTTTTTTTTTTTTTCTTTTTTTAATTTTTGGAGAGTAGTAATAATTTAATTAAAATCATAATCTAAGACTGCTAGATTCTTGAACAATGAAGAACTCTTGTCACTGTAAGCATCAATTTGTCTTGTTGCAGCGATGTAGTGATTCTGCCCAGATGCTCCATGACACTGCTGGGTGGAAATCATTGGAAACCTACATGAAGTTTGTACTATTCAATGAATCACTATGAATGCACTTATGCAAGTACTTTTCTGTAAATATTAAACCTCTTGAGGGGCATTGCAAATCATTTTAATTATGCCAAACATAATTAAAACTTAAAGCAACATTTATTTATTTATTTAGTTCTAGCACACGTTTGCAGCCATATTATTATATATTTTGACAGGTGCCTTCAAAGTGTAATTTTGGGCTGTGGCCACTTGTTCAATGACTATGTTGATCAAGAGTTGCTGGACCTTATCTTTGAAGCCCTGTTGCACACAAATCGTTTTGTTAGAGAAACAGGATTCTATGTGTGTGGTGCCTTGGTGACATGTGGGAAAAAGGACGGATGTATGCATTTTTGATATCATTTTTTGTTTATTAAAAAAAAAACTTCTGGAATTCACTCCTCTGATCTTTACAAAGAGCCATTAAAAATGACAGCTCTGTTTTAAACCTAATTACTTAGGGAAATAAAGGTCTTGTCAATAACCATGGGGTATTCTTATCAAACTTTAAAACATTCTTTTTAGTAGTTTTTTTAAAATAGTTTTCAATTTATCTGGGCTGTGCCTTAATCTGCCTTGTTATGTCAAATTTTCTAATCTTAAAAATTTCAGTTGAAAGTGGTAATGATGCTAAGCTCACTGAGGAAAATGCCATTTACCGGCATGGTGAAGTGTTTTCAGAATATCTTGGAAAGGGACTTGCAGATAACTGGAGTCAGGTGTGATTAAAATATTTTAAAAATGAACCGTAAAAGGCTTGAGTTGTGGAAGTATTTCTTTTCATTTAAATAATGATTAAGTGTTGTTCCAAGTATCCTGAATAATAACTTTAATTGCACATTACTAACATAATTTCCAGGTCCGCATGGCAGGCTCAGTAGCCACACGTCAGTTTTTAACCAGCTTACCAACTGAAGAAGCAAGAGAAAAGTTCTACTCCATCCTTATTCCTAGAATGTGCCTAAACAGGTTGGATATTTATTATTTAAAAAAAATATGTACATTACCTTTAATTAGACACATTATTTTAATTTTTTCATTTGTATGATGAATGACCTATGCACCAAAGCAGAAACTCATTTATTAAGCATGAAAGTGTGCATATTTTTCTTCCATTAAAATATTGTCACTCTGTAATTTTTATGTTAGAGTTTGATGGAATTAAAAAAAATAATTTTAAAGAATAAAATTTTTGTAAATTTGATATAGTTGTATTGTGTATGTGTTGCTTTATTTAATTTCTAGTGTCTTGTATTTAAAAACTGTGTATTTTATTGTATTCCTAGGTATTACATGGCTGAAGGTGTTAGAATCTATTCACAAGAAACATGGCGACTCATCACTCATGGGGAGGGTAGATTGTTGGTAGAAAAATATATCAAACAAGTTGTAAGTAACTTTAGGAGTTTCTTTTCTCTCATATCTTTTACATTTTGAACAAGTTCTTCTTTAAAAAAAATATTTGTAATCAATTTTATTTAAGCTATGATTTGAATTGTCTTCTTTCCTGTATCAGAAAGGTTTTCACTTAGAGATTTAATGTTTACAGAGGTATCCATTTCAAATTTAATGGAAATGTTTCAATGTCACCATCATCATAGTACATTTATTTTTGTTGAGGAAAAATATGTGTCCTTGTTTACTAATGAAGCTCACCGAAATGCTAACAGATACTCCACGTCATCATATTTTGAAGGTTCACCACAACGGGAAATACATTCATTATTTAAGCTAGTCGTAAAAAAAAATTGGAATATAAAATGTGTAATAATAATAATATTCTTTTTTTAATGTTTGTTACTGTTTTATTTTTGAAGTGATTCATGAAAGGTTTTTTTGGTACAGGTTGAGTTCTATATTGAAGCAACAGAATCAGATAACCATGCAGTGAGGGAGGCTGCCTGTGCTTGCATTGCAGAATTGGGATCAAAGGTGAATCTATTATGATCATTATAATTGAATTTTTAAAAAAAAATTAAAAATTTTGCATGCTGAAAGAAATATATAACTTAAAATCAAAATGTAGCTCTTATTATTTTTATTGGCAACTAGTTTTGTTTTCAAGATACATTAAAAAATGTAAACAGCATAAGAAATATTTTATGACAATTTTTTTTCAATTATATAATTTATGCTATCCTTTATTGTTCCATTATGAAATACAAAGATTTTTTATTTCTATGGATAATATCTTAGGTACCGTGTTCACACTGTTTGGGGGAAATAGTGGAACAAGATGTTTAGTTTTGACATCAAAAGACAGGACAATTTGGATTAATGCCTTATTCATCATACAAAACACACCAAGAAACAACAACGAATTACAATTCAAAAGAACTTTGTTCAGAACATTGAGATCTTCGAACACATACGTTTTTGATTTCTAATTCTTTGTTGCTTCTTTTTTTGGCTTGTCTGCTGAAGAAGGCATCTAGCCAAAAACGTCCTCTCAATTGTCCTGCGTTACATTTCAAGATGAAAACATATCTAGTTCCACTATGTGCTTTTTTAACCTTTAGAACTTAGTCCACGCAATTTCAATTGTTTAGCTATTGCATTACCAGTATATAAATTATCAATCTAGATTGACAAGTCAGCAGTGAGCCCATATGTATCAAGATTACTGGAAACTCTCTTGATTTGCTTCAATGATGACAGCTGGCCTGTCAGAGATGGTACATTATTTATTTTTGAAATATCATTTTCTATTTATTCCCATTAACTTTTTTTCCCAACAATAGCTATTACTGTACAAAATTTGTTTACACTTTAGCACTAGTCTTCTTCTTCTATATCTTAAGGGCCCACGATCAATTTATTGATCATTTTGGCTCCTATGCATGTAGATGGGATTTGCAATGTTTGTTGTTGCAACTAGTTGTTGTCTTCATTTCTTAATGGGAAATAGTTGTTTTTTGTTATTTCTCAAATTGATTTGTATTATTTTATTATGTTCAATTCTATTTTTATTATTATTTTTGTACTTATAATTTCAGCTGCCTGTATAGCTTGTGGACATTTTGTGCTCTGCTTTCCAGAAGAATCCAGGTAATTACAAAATTGAAGAATTTAATGAAAGTTATAGAGGTAATTTATTCATTCTCTAATTGTAATAATTTGAAAAAAACATTTAAATGATTTGTTTTTCAAGTTTATTTTTTTTTATTTAAAAAAAACCCAGATCATCCTTACCAGCTCTGTATCCACTGTTTTTCAACAACCTGCAAGACAACATACCCTCAGTGCGTCAAGGTGCAGCAGTAGCTATTACAAATATCGTCAAAGCTTATGGTAAGAATATTTTCTTTTATAATTGATAATATAATTGATAATAAATCATTTCAGTTAATAGTGATATTGATATATTATATATACCGGAGTTAACTCATTCCCTCCGGCAGCGCTGCTTCGGACTTAATTTATTTTCCTGAGAAAAGGGAAGCAACTCAGTTTTGAAATTGATTTATATTTTTAAAATATTTTTTTAATGTTAATGAATTAAGAACAAATGCAACAAATAATGAATAAGGTTTAATATAAATATAACATTAGCGGGGAAAAAATAACGTACAATGGCCAAAAAAATCGATTTTCGGCACCTCGGACGAACACATGCTACATATAGACGCGCCGTACTAAAGCACATGTAGTTTTAAAGTGAAACAAGATAAAAACTTCCGGTTTCTAAATTAAATTCACGCAGAAATCATGCCATAGCCGGAAGTCTCGAGGGAGACAAGATTTCATTGCTATTTTTAACTAAAAATAAGAGAGGTGTGTCGCTATGCGCCGGGACGCATTTGGACGCATCAGGAGAAACCCCCCGAGGACGCATTTAGTCGCAACCGCCGGGAATGAGTTAAACATAAAAGATCAAACAGAAGTTGTAGGAAAAACAAATTAGTAATTGTATTTTTAAAATAAATTAACACAACCTAAAAAGGTTTGCACTTTGATTAAATTTTTTCTTTAAATCTCCTCTGAAAAGGTGGCGCTGAGCAGGAGATTGTCTTTGCTAAAATCAAAGAAGGGTTTGAGAATATTAAAGATCAACCAGCAACCTCAGAGAAATATGAGAATGTGGACAAGTCACCTGCAACCTATGGGGTTGTCAAGCAATTAAGAGACAATGACATGGATCTGCACACTGACCAACAGGTAAGTCAGCGTACGGGACAGTTTGATGAATGAAAGATGGCGTTCTCTAGAAAATAAGAGACATGGATCTGGCCAACAGTAAGCCTCTAGTTTACTGGACAGTTGAATGGATATAAAAGAACATGACTTTCAGTTCAGAAATGACTTTTCTTTCACTAATGGATTCCTACCTGTTGCAGCAAAAACCATCATCTGATATTTGTATACACAGAACAAAATAATTTCAAACAACTCTTGACTTCACAAAATTTTCATTTAGTAAAAAAAATATTTTAAGATAGTTTATAACTGTATGGAGTTAGCCATGTTGTTTCAAATTGTCTGATACTTGTTGTATAGCATTCCTCTGTTTCAGTGGCTCTCAGTCTTGCTTAGCCAATAGCTATCTCTCTCTCATTTGACTTAAATTTATTTCATTATAATTTATAAGATATCCAGATACTCCCTCTATACCTGAAAGTTTCTTTCATTTATCATTTTAATATAACACTGTTATAGCCTGTGTGTTGACCTAGTTTTTGTTCACCACGAGCCGTGGCATGCAACTTTATCACACACACCCCCCCCCCCCCCTTTTTTTTTTTTTGGTTTGCTTTTGACGTCAACAATTAACTCTGCCATTCTTGTCCCCCCACCGCCTTTGATTGGGAAAGTTTATTTACATTTCCAAAAGGGTCCACATAGATTAGAGGGAGAAATACTCTCTGACGATTGAATTTCTAGACTTTCTATTCTAGAGGTTCCTTACTCCCTCACTATATAGACGGTCAGCTGTTACCAGCAGACTTACTAGACTTCCAGAAAGGTTTCTTTTTTTTTGGAAAGCTGCTGGCTTATTTTTTGGCAGGAAATTAGAACCTTCCAGGAAAAGAAATTCAAGAAATTGCATCACCCGATAGCATTCTTTAGAACAAATAGAACATAAACAACCTTTTCCCAATCAAGGAAGGGGAAGGTGGGGGACCCGGTACACATTTAATCGGTGATGTAAATATTTTTTTAAAAATGGGAGGGGTACAATTGGTGGACAAAAACGTGGTCAGTACACAGGCTGTTATAACAAACATGTTTTGTTACTGTCTGTTGTTTATTGTAACATGGTTTTTTTATGGTATTTTTATTTAAGATGTACTCGTGTGGATCTCTAGCACCTAAGATGGGGAGAGGAGGTGGATGTATGGATCACAAATTTAGAAAACCTCCACAGCCATGGGAATTGGCTGATGGGTAAGTTGAATGATTGAACTACCATCATTCCATAGACAGCACCTTGAGCTATTGGAAGTGTTCGCTCAAATCAGGGGTTCTTACCCTGTGGTCTATCTAAATTTCTTTTGTAATTGTATTTTATGCATTTAAAAACTTAATTCTAAGAGGTTTTTCATCTTATTGGCAAAGGGGGTCCGCTGGACCAAAAGAAAAAATGTTTAAAAAGATAATTTTTCTAAAAAAATTGCTTTTGTCTAAGTTCTAACAAACGGTTAAAATTTTAAAATTTTATTGGATGTATCATTAATCCATCTATAGCTTTATTCAGAAGGAGAATTAAACTGTATGGTAATTAAAGCTCTTTATCTTGTCCAAATTGTATATCTAGCTGTGTCCACCTTCTGGCTGAATTGAGTCATGTCCCATCAGTGAATGGTCAAGTCAGTAAAATGATTCCTGTCTTGGTCAAGGCATGTAATATGAAATCTTACACACACTATCCTAACTTCCTGGAGACAGTGTGCAAACAGGTAATTTTATCCAACTGAATATAAACCATTAATTAGACATTTCTCCAAACACAAGTGCAATATTTTGCACATAAAAGCACTTCTAGCAGCCAGAAAGTTAATGTTAGATGGTGCCAATACTGGTTAATGTTAGGTATTTCTTAATTGCCCATTCTGGTTATTAATGTTAAGTATTGCTTACTTTCAAATTCTGGTTAATGTTAGGTATTGCCCAATCTGGTTAACATTAGGTATTGACAATTTTGGTTAGTGTTAGGTATTGACAATTCATGTTAATGTTAGGTTAGCGTCTACTTTCGAACGCTGGTCCACTGAATATATCTCCCTGGCATGGAACTGCTTTAACAAAAAGAAGAAAAAAGTCATAACCTTATACATAAATATTCTCACATAAATTCTTATGTTTAAAAAGTATGAGGGCCGTCCATATAGTACATGCCCAGGGGGGGGGGGGGGGGGGGGGATTTTTCAAAGATATTATGGCCGAAGGGGGTTTTGGCAAATTTACAAATTCTACAAAAATCATCCTGATGTTCTGACAGTCCAAAAATAGCATATTTATATCTCTGATGCTGTTAAAATATCAAGCAATTTTTTATGGAAATTTTGTCATAATTTTGCCTTGTGAACTTACTAGATTTCACTTTAATACTACCCTGTATTATTAGTATTACAGTAATATTTAGTCCACAGTATGATCAACACGTGTGTAATGTATTATGTTCGGCTACACCAGTGGTTCCTAAAATTCTTTTATTCCTGGCCAAATTTATTTTTTCACCAGGAGTCCTGGTGTTAAATTTATTTTTTCACCAGGAGTCCTGGTGTTAAATTCTAACAAGGACACAATAGCGAATGCATTCAACAAATAAATAAAGTAAACATTCAGGTAAAAATCAATAAAACATATGTGTAGGTCAATAAGCGTCCCCTAGTAAATGCAAACAGTTGTTACTCAAGCGAGCTACTGGATATAAAAGTGGAAAATAAAATGATGAAAATCGGGAAATATTTTGTGATGCCCCTGTGAGGTAGCTGCAGCAACCCAGGACAGGGCCATGGTGAGGAAAAATGGTGGCTAGGGTGAGGCTGGAAAATAGTGCCCTTCAATATATAGAAAAAAGTGCCCCTGGGATGGACCAATAAAAAGATGGTTTTATCCCCCCTTGTCTTAATGAAAGAAATGGGATTTTACTGTTTAATTCATTATTTAGGCCCCACTAATTTGACTTTACTTTTTTGAATGCATATTATACAGATGACCCTTTGTTTGTCATCCGTGTAGGTGAACTTGAGAAATACTTTACTGTTTTTTTAACACATGGCTTGTTTCTTTTTCAGCTTTTAAATATTGCAGAAGGACTTGGAAAACGACCATTTAAAATGTTTTTGGAAATGTTTTTAGATTACATATTTGAAGCACTGGTAAGACTTACTCACATGATAAAAATTATTATTTCTGCAGTGTGCATATAATATTCACAAAAGATGAAATGTTTCAATTTTTTTTTTTTTTAATATATACACTTTCAATTTTGTATTTCTTTTTAAAAATATAATGTTCTAATTGAGAAAAATTTCTTTTTCGAGACTTAAAAATTTTTTTTTTAATTGTGTTTCATTTCATACAATAATTCCAAAAATATGTGAAATGATGTTTCAAATTTTTTTTTTAATGGGTGAATGTTTTTTCACTTAAACACTTAAAATCAAAATTTATAAATGATCACATTGCCTCCACGCTCATGCATCGACCAAATTTTTATGTTACAGTTGGGTTGTTTTTTTTTGTATGAGCACTGATGTGTCAATAAATGTAGTAACTTGTGCCACGCAGGACAGTGATGTTGCCCTAACCTCAGCAGCTGCCAGCCAATGCATCATTAGCTTGAGTGGCTTCCTGGGACCAGGGATCTTCAGAGGGAGGATAGAAAGCTACAACAGCTCGTAAGTAGAAACTTCATCCAGTATATAGCAATGCTGACATCTTTGTTCTTTTTTTTTTTAAGTCCCCCGAGTTAATGAAGTTAGGAACTGCCATCAAATCATCCCCAAATCTGTGTGCTAAAGAGTGATTAAGCAACTGATGCTCATAGTCATCTCCAGTCTTGTCCTATGAAAGAGCAGCTTGCTGCAGCTTAGTATATTTTAAAGATTTGTTTCATGCATTTACATTCACAGTTTTGGTTCTTGAGGTGGCCACCATTTCTTCCCATTTGTTGTAAGGAAATAAAATCAATGAACAATAAATTACTCATCTCCTCCCAGCATTTACATGCACAGTTTTGGTTCTTGAGGCGGCCACCATTTCTTCCCATTTGTTGTAAGAAAATAAAATCAATGAACAATAAATTACTCATCTCCTCCCAGCATTTACATGCACAGTTTTGGTTCTTGAGGCGGCCACCATTTCTTCCCATTTGTTGTAAGGAAATAAAATCAATGAACAATAAATTACTCATCTCCTCCCATGCACAGTTTTGGTTCTTGAGGCGGCCACCATTTCTTCCCATTTGTTGTAAGGAAATAAAATCAATGAACAATAAATTACTCATCTCCTCCCAGCATCATTCTTGCCTCCTAAGAGTTATTTCTTTTCTTTATTATAAAATTGGATTGTTGTCTATTCTTTGTGAGTTCTAGAAATGCATACTTATTTATTCTTGTAATGCGCCCCATGCAATATAACTACCTTAAAGGTAGTTTACTGATTATTTTTCAAAATTATTTTCATTGCAGTCTGTAACTGTAACATGTGTTGGAAAAGTATGTCTTTATACATTACAATCACAGTGCTTGTCCAAAAATTAAAAATAGCTTGATGTGTGAATGTTTCTCTACTTTCAGGTACCTTTCAAAATACGACTCCTTGCCAGGACTTCCCCAGTAGCTGCCATTTCTGTAGGACTGAGTATCAAGCAGTATTATGTGTCCAGTACATTAGTAGAGCAACACAGATATTTTGATGATGTATATATATGTCTATTTGAGGTGCATAGAGCATTGAATTGCTTTTGCTTTCAGGGCTGAATAATGTCTTTAATGAGCTAGTCTTCTTCATAGAATCCCATATCCATTGGGAAACTTGTGTTTAAAAAAAAAATGAATTTAAATACAGCTAAGTGGATTGTGATTTCTTTCATTGGGGACAGTACTAAAGCCTTTTGAACAACTGACAAGAGCAGCAGGGGACATTTTTGCAAGCAACATTGCCAGCCAATCAAGCAGTCTTGCTGTATCCTGCAGATGGAAATTGGGGATGATGCACTAGCATAAGAACAAGCAGCATATCCCCCCCCCCCCCCCCCCCCGGCGGTGGGATTTTGAAAGCAATTGTGTTTTCTTACTATAATCTCATGACATAGATCAAATCCCCCTAGTTATAAAAGGTGATGTTTTTACATGCCAGCCAGAGGTTTTCATAGTTATTGCTCCTATATTCTAACCAAAACAGTCATTAAAATATTTCCACTTTAATTAAAACAATAATTGTGTAAATAAGCTGATGGTTGCTTTAAGTTTGCCTCATTTTTCAAGGAAGTTGAATTCTTGAATAACAAAACAAAATATGGTTATGTGCTGAATGTGTTCAAAATAAAAATGTTAGAAAATAAAATGTTAGAAAATAATGTTCAAATATGGTCCACATCTGTGTTCCCCAAACTTTTAAGTTTGGTGGACAAGTTTCAAAATTGTGCCACAGACCGATGTCAGATTAATTAATTGTATTTTCTTTTTATTTGACCATAAATTATTCATGTTGAGGGAAACCGGCAACGTTAGACTGGCGGACTGGTGTCGGTCACCAAACCCAACTTTTTGGAAACATTGGTCTAGATATCTTGAATATTCTTCCTTCATGGCTTTAAAAATGTTTAAAACAAAAGGATGAAAGCACACATGTGGTAGAAATTCTGTATTTACAAACAGATAATAATTTTGTGTATGGCAATTAAATTTGTTTATTGCATAGATTATCACATACTGTTCTGGGCTAATATGTTGATTCCTCATGGATTCATAATAAACGTTAATGTTATTTGTTATTGAAACGATCCTGGCCGAGCCGCACTCATTACTCTGAAATCTTAATACAATCATCCATCAGTAAATATAACTCATTCACACTTGTAAAGTGACACTATCGAAAAGAGACTTTAATCCAACTGCTCATACAATGAGAATGTGGTAATCTGTTTACTAGGAAACATGTTGGTTACCTCAAGGTCATGAACAAAAGCATTTGCAGATGCTTTCATTTTCATTATTGTTTTTATGCATATTAAATTAACATACTGGCATAAGCTAAATAGAAATTGAAATGAAAGAACACATTATAAATAATGCAATGTTTATCATGGTCTGATACTGGTAGGGTTTAGGTGATTGAGAGGTGTAGACAGAGTCTGTGGCGTTTGGGGGAGGAGAGTTTCTATCTACTTAATGTACCTACTTCTATTTTTCCAGTTTTTTTGTTTTGTTTTTTTAAAAAGGCTGCAATGATCTACTGGAAGGGGCTGGCTAATAACTCTTGCCTCCTGCATGTCAGGATGGAATGTTATCTCCCTCATATTATGATTTAAGTTACAGCACAGCAGAGACATGCTTTTTTTTTTTCCTTTTCCCCACTGTTAGATTCCTTTCCCCATGGCTTTGAGTGATGCATGACAATAAATTGATGTAGACCCACTGTATTTCGTGTTACCAAATGCTGAGACCTACACTGACCATGGGGGTCAGCTGCATTGAGCATTCCCACTGCTGCCGGTCCAGGCTCATCACAGTCATCTGTAAATGTAATATTAATCCCATCACCTGTTCACTTCATGAACCTGGAATAACATTTATATGTATTTTGACATTTTTCAGAAAATAGAGTGCCTGTTGTAAGGGATTTTCAGTGTGACGATACATCTTTTGGCTTTTGTGTGTTTGTATGAGATGGTCAACACGATCACATACACAAGGCACGTATCACTTATTGGAGTGTTCTTAGTAACTTCAATGTTCAAATTGACTGGATGATTAGAAACAGATCCTTGGAAATTGTTTGATAATATTTGAGGGGAAGTTATTTAAAACTGGTTGTGTGTCCGTCTTCATGCGGAACTGATAAGGTTTGTTGAGTTATTCTCTCTTTGTAAACTACATGCTGACTTCATGCGGGCCTGATCAGGTTTGTTGAGTTATTCTCATCCACATTTTTATATATCAATATCTTGATGACAGACAGCTGGGTGGTAATGAAATCTCATAGGTTTATCCTAGTCTCTTTTGGTTTATTTCATATGTATAATTTTTTAGGAGCTTGTTCATCATGAGGGCCTCAGAGTCCCATATTTAAATGTCCCGTTCCTCAGACACCTTTTTCCTTTTACCAAAAACCAATTATTGTACGTGAGATGTGATGATACAAAGATGTTGCGTAGCAAATAAACTGTCTGATTGTGCCTCTGAGTCTGACTCCATTTCTTTTTGTCTCCACTTTAAATTAAAAAACTGTCCTTATTTTGGTTTATTAGTTTGATTGTGTTAGATGGATTGATTTTTTTGTTAAATTCATTAATTCATATATAAGTTGATTGCTACCCAACACCAAAATTGAATGAATTCAAATCATTAGTTATCAAAATATCCCTTCCATTAAACTGTAGCTAAACTCATTAAACTTATAACAATCATCATAGTCTCCACATTGATAAAAGTAGGACCCCCAGAAATTTCCCATTTGTAATAAAAAAAACGGATACATGTAATGGCAGAGCAGGGGTTCTCAAACCAGAGGGTTTGGGAAGATCAGGTTTAATTGCATTTTTTATAAGCATTTTAAAAAAATCTTTTGTGTATGAAAAAAAAAATAAAAAAGGTTGTGGGGGAGGATTATGATTGGACTTCAAGAAGCTCCTTTCGAAAAGGTTTCATTTCATGAGAACCCCTGGACTGGAGAGGAAAAATGCTATAATCATTAGATTTCAAAATACTTTACAGTCTTAGTATTTGGCATTTTTATAGCTCTAGAAAATATTCTAAAATTGGCATGTGGCTAGCTCTGATAATTGGCATGTGGCTAGCTCTGATAATTGACATGTGGCTAGCTCTGATAATTGGCATGTGGCTAGCTCTGATAATTGGCATGTGGCTAGCTCTGATAATTGACATGTGGCTAGCTCTGATAATTGACATGTGGCTAGCTCTGATAATTGACATGTGGCTAGCTCTGATAATTGGCATGTGGCTAGCTCTGATAATTGACATGTGGCTAGCTCTGATAATTGACATGTGGCTAGCTCTGATAATTGACATGTGGCTAGCTCTGATAATTGACATGTGGCTAGCTCTGATAATTGACATGTGGCTAGCTCTGATAATTG